AGAGAGAGAGAGAGAGAGAGAGAGAGAGAGAGAGAGAGAGAGAGAGAAAGAAAGAGAAAGAAATAAGAAAAATCTGTGTTGCGTTTTTCATTTTGTCTGCAACGTATGCGATTTCCAAGCGATTCGCCAATTTTCAAAGTGATGTACAATGGGTGCGTACATGTATAGCAGCAAACTCACACCGTGATCAACACGAAAAATTCACATAGTGCGAAAAATAGAAGCAAGTTCAGCGAGAGAGTGCAGGAGGATGAACGAAACAAAATGAAGATCACAACCCTCGGAAAATTCACAACGACACTTAAATCGTACGACATAAATGGCATCAACTTCATTCGTTTGCTTGGTTTTATTTTATGCACACAGCATGAAATATTCGCTTCGATGCAGCAAATGCAAATTAAAATGAATTTTTAGTCGCGTAAACTTTGGCTTTCGCCAGTACATCTTTTGTGAATGTGAATTCGTGTATGAGTGTGCGCATGTGAATGTGTATGGTCTTGATTCAAGAAAATCTTCTCGGATCGAATCGAGCCGCTTTTTATTTGTGCATATATATTCGAGTATGTGTGTCTGCATTTATGCATTTGTGCATCCGTTGTGTGCAAACACAGTCAATGACGAAACTTGTCCAAGTCAACAATTCGAAGTGTGTTAAAAACATACTAGAGTCATTTGAACATACATGCATCCAAGACCGAAGTCCGTGGCCCAACATACCAAATCGTACGTCCCGTATAATTTATCTGCAATAATTTTCCAGCAACGACTTTTATTTTTCTTTTAATTTCATTTTTATTGAATGCATAAATTTTATTAGAATCTTTTTTTTCGATGCTCGCCGCCGCCACCGCCGTCAATGCTTCTTTTTTTTTAAATATGTATGCGGCCAAACGACTTCTTTCTCTCCTACTGTCTATACATTTACGACTCGGCTGTTTGTTTCATTCCATTTCGTTTCACGACGATTTGGGTTCTTTTTTTTGTAACTATGCATTTCCATTTCGGCTCGAGCCGGAGATGGTGGTGAGCTTTTTTCAAGCTGATAAAACAATCGAATCTTTAAAAAAATATTGTGTTTTCTTTTCACTTCACTTTATCCCGTTGTATGCACACCATATATACGAACATTGACTTGGCCAACCATAATATACATAATCCAGTTCTTGTTTCACTCGGAGTTCATCCCAATGGTTTTCCCATACCATTTTATTGAGACTTTTTTCCACACAAATTTCATTCTCGCCTAAAGGAAGAAAGAAAGAAAGAAAGAAAGAAAAAATGTATATTGTGTTCGTTTTGTTTAAATAAGTTTTCTGTTCGATACGAAGAAGAGTTTGATTGATTTTACCGTTTGTGGGGGATTGATTCAATTGAAGACAATTCATTTCATTTTAAAACAATTACCATATCGTATGCGAGAAATAGACAGAAGTTCTATTAATAAATTGAATGAATTCTTAATTTTTCATTCCGATAATGTGGTTTATACTTTCGACAAACAATAAAACCTTTTCGAATGAACAAATAATAATTATGCAAGAGTTTTTTTTTCTTCATTTTTCTGCTTTAACTTTGTGGAAATGAAAATGTTTATGTGTCAAGTTGCAGTATATACTGCATAGGAATTCACTGCCGTATTATTTTTACGATTTCAAGACAACAACAAAAAAAAAATTGGCGGTGAACAATTGAGTTTTGATGGGAGCTTCGGTAAATATAAACAAAATTCAAATTTACAATGATAAAATGATCCAGAATAGTGTGGGGTGTGTGCATTGGTATGTATGACAGTGTGATTCGCTTGCAACGGTCCATTTTATTTCAATGTTTAATCCATGGTTGCTGAATGTCACAGATTGAATGTTCAACTGGCTGCATAGCTTTGGATATTAACGATCCAAGTGGGGAACATTTTTCTTCAAATGTGCAAAGATAAACTTTGTCTCCCACAGTAGTGAGACCCAAAAGGGGGCTTTCAAAATTCCGAATTATTTCTCTCAGTTTGTAAAGGGATAGCCTGGTCACAAGCTATGGCTGTGCATACGAACACATCGCTCCTTCATTTTCTTCATTACGAATGTAAGAAAGAAATTTGACGGTGTAAAACATAATCTCTTTGACTCTCATCAAAATCGAGGAGAAAAAGAAACGTTAAGTTGTCGCATACAGCCTGCAGAATTTAAGAGCCATGAATTAAACACTGTTTCATTCCACCATTCTTATTTACTTCGTACCGTATATGTGTACGATTCGTACCTTGTATGATGTACCCGATATTTGTACACAAGCTGGCAACCACGATGGAACCGAACCAACCGGAATACCATGCCATGGAAAATATATTGTAATTAAGTAAAAATTCGCTTGAACGTGAAAGTGACATTGAACATTTATCTTGAATCGTATGCGCAAATTTATTTACGCTTTTCCACTTGACTTTTTCAAATGTCATTTCCATTTTGTGCTTCTCCCACATTTCTTTCGTTTCTTTTCACGTTTTTTTTTGTTTTGTTATGTTCTCTTTCATCTTTTTCGGCTTTCGTTAAAGAATTTTTTTTTCACTTTGATTTGCGCTTCATTCTCTCTCCCTCTGGCCTTCATCAACTTTCATTTTATGTGTTTCTTGGCAAAGTCAATTGTTTTTTTTTTATCACCATTTCTATTTGGCGGTTAGCTGCCACATTCGGATCGGTGATTCGTTTTGCAAACCTGTTATGAGAACGATATAAATTGTTCATCGTTTGGGTCCGTATAATTAATGTGATCGATAAATTTTTATTGAAACTCCAACTACTGAACGTCGTTTCACTCTTGTCATCAATAAAAGAGCGTTGAGTCCGTGTATATTCGAAAAGTTTCTTTATGTGGTAGCATACAATTTTTTTTTCTGCTTCTTCTTTTATTGTTGGCTTTACTAAGAGCGAGATGAAGTCTCCCCTTCGTAATTTCCAAAAACGATTTTCAACCGTGTGCTACTCTGTGTGACCCGGCGCATTCATATTTATACGTTTTATTTTCAATTTTAACTCGCAGACATCTCGCAAATTACAATTTGAATCGGAAACGATATTCCAACTACTAAAATAAAGAATAGACTAACGCACTCCTGCCAAACGAGCAAGTAAGCGGGACAAAAAAAAAACGAAGAAGAAATAAATATAAGAAACATCGTAACTGTATCGAAATAAGAAAGTTCATTATTTCAAGTTGACTGCTCGCGGTGTCCCTTTTTCATTTTCAACACCTTTTGCTTATTTTACTTTTTTTCAGCTTTTTCTTTACGTTTTTTTTCACTCTCCCGCTTTATTTATGTGCCATACGTTCGTACAGTGTAAATGCGGCAACTGTATCCAAACGCGTACATGATCATCATTTTGGTATTAAATTTTTTCTTCTTCTTGTGTATTCTACCTTTCGTCTAATAAATTGTCTATTAGAAGAGCTTCTGTACTGTGTGTTTTATCTATTTTTAAAAAAAATATATGCTAAAATACGATTGTAGCTTTTTACCCACGATTTCATCATTTTCATACAAATAACCCATGTTTCTCTTTTGTCATTTAATTGCTCGTGCAATTGGGCATACAAAAGAGTACAATATGGACTGTACCATATCGACTATAAACAAAAAAAGAAAAGTCGGCTCTGATTTGACCGAAAATGTATGATTAGCTTTTTTTGTTGTGTTCAAAATTTGGTTTGGAATTTTTTTTCGGCCGCTTCAAATTACACTTACCATATCTGGAATCGAAAACCATAACAGCGTGACGGAATTGCATTAGTTTGATTAAAAATGTTTGTTACAAACCACTGAAAAGCAAAAATTGTTCATGCAAAAAGTTGAGAACAATAACGGCCTAAATACGTCAACATTTTACATGCGCAAGATATCGAATAGCATATTTAAGAAACACGAGTCTATAATTAATTA